AGCTGGAAAGGTGGTGTGGTGGGGCGGGGCACAGGGGGTGGGGCGGGGCACAGTTGGCGGGAAGGCGCACGCGGGGGTGGGTGTGGGGGGGACGAGGTAGGGCGCTGTTCTTAGCCATGGCCCTTTGGTGTCGGGGCCTGAGGGCCACGGGGAGTTAGTTGGCCGGCTAGACCTAGGACTTTGGTCGTCGAGACTGGAGGACCCCGAGGGCCTGAGAGAGAGGTGTGGGAGCCCTGCGCGCCTCCGGACCTCCCGCCCATGGCGGCAGAGCGAGCAGGAGGCAGCCCCACGTCTGTGACCTCAGGGTTCCGGGGCCCGGGCTGCGGACGAAGCTGGGCCAGAGTGGCGCTTGCAAAGGCAGCCGCCTTACCAGCGTGCCCTGCCGGGGGGGACCTGACGCAACAGAGGGGTTTGACGCTCGCTGGGGCAAACCAAGTGGAAACATGTATCTTTATAGATGTAAAGGGTCTTTGGGAAGGGATGAGTTGACTCCAGTCACTTCTCTTCCCCCCCCCCCCCGAAAAAGACCGGTGTGACACACAGGACGGACATCTGTCTCTTGGGCCGGCTAGATCTTTTAAAATTATTCTTCTTATCTCCTGACTGCGGCAGTAAGGAGTGACTTGACTGTTCCAGAGTCTGAGGAACAAGGCTCAGCCAGTGTGGGCCCCCCCCTTCCTGGCACCCATGGAGTTGAGCCACTGGAAAGTTCTGCCCATGGTGATGCCCTGACTTGAGAAGGCTGTGCTGAGTGCTTCAGAGAGTTGCCAGAAATGCATCTGCAGGGACACTCTTCTGCTGGCTTTGCCAATTCTGAAGAGCCATGTGTCCTCTCAGCCAACTGAAGGCTTAGAGTCGGTGTCCGTTTCTCCTGGCTGGACAGTGTCACGCTGGCCACTTTGGCTCACACCTCCAGGATTAAAGTCTTGCGAATCATTACCGAAGGAAAACACGAACTTAACTTTTCTTAAGAATCAGGGTTTTCCCGTGGAAACTGCTGGCCAGCCAAGTCCAGTCGTCTTCATTCTTCAGAACATTGGCTTAAAAGTGAAATTGTCGTCAGTGTTCTGTTGACATATTTTCCTAGAATACAGAGCGCGTTGTGTGTCGAGTATGGTGTGTTACGTGCATGGTGCAGGCGCCTGGTGTACGTACCCACGTGCCCATCAGGGTTGCCCTCTCTTTGTCCCCTGGACTGAGAAGCCATTGTGTTGTGTCACCTCTAGGTTGACATCATGGACATCTGTGAGTCGATCCTGGAGAGGAAGAGGCATGATAGCGAAAGGTCTACCTGCAGCATCTTAGAGCAGAATGACATCGAAGCAGTTGAGGCTCTTGTTTGCATGAGCTCCTGGGGTCAAAGATCCCAGAAAGGTGACCTATTAAAGATAAGACCCCTCACCCCTGTCTCTGACCCTGGGGATGTCACCAGCACGGTGCATGTGGATGCAGCCGCATCTGAGCTACCAAAGGACTTCGACTCTTTATCGACTCTGGTAAGAAGTGGGGAGAAGAGCGTTTTTTGTAATGACTAGGGTATGTTAAATAAATGTGCTGAAGGACTTGTGGGTAGATTCATTGGGATGCTGGTAGGCCAAGTGCATAACCTCCTCTTGGGTGGGTTCTAAGGGTGAAAACTTCTCTTACTTCTCGAAAATATGCTCTTTCCGTTAATAGATTATAGCTTGCAGCCACAGGGTTAAAATGTTCATAGGAGGAAACCTACAGATTGATGCAAGAAAGTCAAATGTACTGGCTTCCGTGGGGAGTTGCAGGGTGGGGGCTTAGCTTCCCCCAGAGGACCCAGTGTGGAATCAGGGTGCCCGGGTGGCAGCTAGAAGCAGTCTGCGCTTTGGCACCAGCCTTCATTAGCGAGGTTGAAATGCTGGCCCCTCCCTCCCCGGAGCAGCCCGTTTCTTACTTGTGTGAGCTGAGTGCAGCCAAGCACGGTTTTTGGTTTTGTTTTCTTAACTTGCTAGGGCTACAGAAGTGCTGGGAGAGATTACTTCTCAGCTTGGAGAAACTGAGAATGGGCTAACAGATGTGCAAAGTAGAATCTGATTATCTTGGGTTGGAAGCTTGCACTGGAGGGAGAGTGTGGAAAGCAGACTTGGGAAGAGGGAAGAGAAGGAACTCGTGGGCAGTGGAGAGAATTGTACAAATAATGGGCCAGAAGCACCTCACAGAGCTACTTGGCATTGAGCTCCCCCACAGGGGGGCTGACAGTAAGTGGGAGCTGTTGGGTACTACGGAGAGGCTTGGTTCAGTCAGAGCCACTGGTTAGAGCGTAGCCTCTGGGAGAGCATTCCAACAGGTTTTCACCTGGCATCCACTAGGCACTGGGTAAGTGTGTGTTAAATGATTAGCACTGGGATTTAAAAAAAAAGATTTGAGAATCAAAAACTATTGTGAAAAGCTCTTATTTTGAATGTAAATTTGCTTTCTCATTTGTGGTCCTAATACTTAAAGTGCTCGTTTCGGTGGCTATGCAAGCCCACAGGTGGCACTGACATTCTTAAAACTAAGCAAATGGGTTGGTGTGGGAGAGCTTAGGAAATGGGGAGAAGCCTACAAAGTAAAATACTTCATGTAGTATTGAAATTCACTGGGTGCTGTTGTGAGCAGGCTTAGACGAGTCTTTCCTAGATACTTTTTTTTTTTTTAAGATTTTTTTATTTATTTATTTGAGAGAGAGAGTGAGAGAGAGAAAGAGCACAAGAGGGGGGAGCGGGAGAGGGAGAAGCAGACTCCCTGCTGAGCAGGCAGCCCGATGCGGGACTCGATCCTGGGACTCCAGGATCATGACCTGAGCCGAAGGCAGTCGCTTAACCAACTGAGCCACCCAGGTGCCCTTTCATAGATACTTTTTAAAAGGCATTTGGGGCATGGTGATCAAAGTAAGTCCCTTTTAAAATTTAACCACAACAACCTTTTCACAGAGGAATTTTTTTTTTTTTTTTTTTAAGTGCATGACTCCTCCTCAGAGCCCTGATCTTGTGGAGCCATCGACAGGGACACTTGTTCCTTCTCAAGTAACTGATTCCAAAGCATGCATGGTCATGACCATCCACCCAGCCTCCGCTGGGGCCGCCAAAGTGCTGAGCAGGAAGGCGGAGAGGGGCCTTCCTGGTTCGAAGCTAGAGCCACTGGAGCCAGCCCCCAGCCCCCCCTGCAGGCCCATGGTGACAAGTGTCATCCGCCACACTGGGGGGAATCCTGCTCCTGGCCACATTCCTACTGCCCAGATTCAAGAATGCCAACTTCCCGTTAACAGAGGAGAAGCACAGATTTTGGGACATACTGAAGCTTTGCTGGACACACAACTCACAGATAATCTACTGACCACTAACTCAGTGTCGTGTCAGCCTTGCTTGCACAAGTCTGGTGGCCTGATCCCCATTGACAAAGGCCAGCAGGCAGGGTGGCCTGTTGCAATTCAAACCTGCTTACCAAAGAATTATGAAAGTGACTTACCAAGGAAAGCCACCCCTCTGATTTCTGTCCCTGTCCCCAGTTCTCCTGTCTTTTGCCAAATGATCCCTGTGACTGGACAGAGTGGCATGTTACCAGCTTTTTTGAAGCCTCCTCCCCAAGTGTCTGCAGGGACTGTCAAACCCATCCTGCCCCATGCTGCTCCCGTGCCCCAGCCTGTGTTCGTGGGACCGCCTGTGCCTCAGGGAGCTGTGATGCTGGTCCTGCCCCAGGCGACCCTCCCCCAGCCTGCCACCTCTTCATCCAGTGTCGTGGCTGTGGGCAATACCAAGTTCTTGCCCCTTGCGCCTGCCCCCGTCTTCATTGCCTCCGGTCAAAACTGTGCCCCTCAGGTAGACTTTTCCCGAAGGAGAAATTATGTTTGCAACTTCCCAGGCTGCCGGAAAACCTACTTCAAAAGTTCCCACCTCAAGGCTCACCTTCGCACCCACACAGGTGAGTACTAAGGCAGGTAGGCCATTAGAACTCCAGAGCCTGTGTTGAAGAAACACACGCTAAGCCTTCCTGGAGTGGGAGGGAAACATGAGAAGCACTGGAAAAGGTGGAAAGTTGGCAGTTTTTCTTTGGTTCTGAAAAGCCTTCATAGTCTTGTAGGGATTGGGATTAACGTTAGTACAACCATCATTGGTTTTTCTAGAACATGCCATCTGCTCATCCCAGTAGATAAAATGTAGTATAGTTCTAGGATTGTGGTCCCTTTGATAGATTTTTAGGGTGATGCTCATGTTGCCCCTTTTTCTTTACATTGCAGTAGACTCCTCAGTCTTTGCGTTTTAGAAAATGTGCATTTCACATTCAATAAACATCAGTGTAACTTATTTTGGCTCACTATGGGGAGAGGTCTGTAAAGTGTGGAAAAGTTTGAATTCGAAAATACGTGAACTTTAAGGGGATGTAGTTTTCTTATGTTGGGAATATATAGTTTTGAATTCAGAAGGAGAAGTCGTACAAGAAACTATAATGACTTGGTGATACCTTTTTTATCTCATCAGCCTGGTCCAAGAGAATTTTTGGCAATGTTAGAAATATTCTCTGTCCAGTTAAGGTAGCTGCTAGCTGTATGCTTAAAATGTGGACAGTGTGACTAAGGGAGTAAATTGTTCATTCTCATTGAGTTTACCTTTACATAGCTACATGGGGCTGGTGGCTACCATGTTTAACGGAGGTCTGGTAGAGCTGCTGCTTTAGTAGATTCGGTTAGAATATTTCAGATGTTCTGTGGCACTCTTGTTCTTTGAGTTAGTGTTCTGCTGTTTTGTTTTGAAGGCTCCTATGGTTAAATAGTGTGTTAAACTCACCTTTGAGAGGTTCACACACATACGTGAGTGTAAGCACAGTAACAGGTTGCACGGAGTCTGCAGTGAGGATGTGTTGCATAAACTCTTTGATCATGGAACCCCCTTCCACCAAGATGTCTGCTAACGGCCTGTAGGACAGCAGTGAGTTGTGGAATACAATGTAGGAAGGGCTGAACTGGAAGGAGTTACTATTGTATTGTCTTCCAAAATGCATTTCAGGTTGGTGGTTATAGTTCATTATAGGTCTAATCATGGTGGCTCCCACTCAACGAATGGAATAGAGTCTAACAGATAGTCACAGATGTATCGAAGCAAGTGGGTGCCTCCAAGGGGTTGTACTTTTTTTTTTTTTTTAAGATTTTATGTATTTATTTTGTCGGGGTGGGGAGTGCCTGCATGGGCTCAAGAGCACGCACACAAGTTGGGGGGAGAGGCAGAAGGAGAAGTAGACTCCCCACTGAGCAGGGAGCCGGAGCCAAAGGCAGATGCTTAACCAACTGAGCCACCCATGTGCCCCTAAGGGGCTCTACTTTTGAGGGAAGGAATTATTCCTTTCAAGAATCTTCCCCCTACCCAAAGCTATAACAATGAGAGATTATTTTTATTTAAAAATATCTTTTGAGGAGCACCCCGGGTGGTGCAGTCTGTTGGGTATCGAGCTCTTGGTTTCGGCTTGGGTCATAATCTTGGGGTTGTGGGATCGAGCCCTGTGCGAGGCTCCACACTCAGAGTCTGCTTGAGACTATGTCTGTCCCTCCCCCCTTCACGCTTGCGCATGCTCGCTCTCTTTCTCAAATGGGTAAATCTTAAAAAAAAATCTTTTGAAATGTGAGATGAGTCTGACATCTTTGGGCCCTGACATATATCTTAGGTGTGGCAACAAAAAAATGGAGGATTTCCTGACTTTTGAATAACTCAACACCAGAATAACAGGATACTACTTTCTTAGATTTTGATGAACAAAATTTCAAAACGACATGAATTAACCAGCTTGGGTAAGATGCTGAGTGTTTACATTTTCTTTGATGTGTGTTTTCTCCCCTCTTAGGAGAGAAGCCTTTTAACTGTAACTGGGATGGCTGTGATAAAAAATTTGCTCGTTCTGATGAACTCTCTCGCCACCGCAGAACTCACACTGGGGAGAAGAAGTTTGTGTGCCCCGTGTGTGATCGGCGTTTCATGCGCAGTGACCACCTGACAAAGCATGCCCGGCGCCACATGACTACCAAGAAGATCCCTGGCTGGCAGGCAGAGGTTGGCAAACTGAACAGAATCGCCTCAGCAGAGAGACCCGGGAGCCCACTTGTGAGCATGCCAGCCTCTGCATGAAAGGTCAGCCAGGGACTTGCCCATGGGAATTTTAAAAAGCATTTTTCAGGAATGGAACTGATGGTTTTCTCTCCCAAAAAAAAAAGAAAAATTGTTTTAGGGAGTAGGAGAAAGTGGGGAGCTGGTTCTGATGAAAGTATGTTAACTTTTCCTTTTTGGTTGGGACCCTGTTCAAAATCTTGTAGTTTCAGAAGTTTTTTTGAGGAAATGGAAGAAAATTTGATCATCTGAATCACCAGCATTCAAACCGACATTTCGGCAATAAAGTTTACAAAATCTGGGTTTTTACAACCTTTCTATCCATGTTTTGTAGAACTGAGACAGGGTACTAATTTTTATACTGTTTTTTATTAAAGTATTTATATTGTTGGTGTTCAAATCACCAATTTCTAGATAGGTGATTTTACAGTCTTCTTTTCAGTGTTCAGCAATGGTTTTCATAATAACTCTACATTTAGTAAATTTGGCACATTATTCAGCCACAAAAAAAAAACAAAACAAAAAAACAAAACTGCAAGTCTGTCATCAGGGCTTTTAGATCTAAGAATTTTTTAGAACCAGAACTAGTTGAATAGAGGCTTCTTAAATGGGGCGGTGGGGGGTGGGGAGAGAAGAACTTGCATTTAGCTTTTTCATAGCATTTTCAAGAGAAATTCCAGGCAACAATTCCTTTAAGGCTGTAGCCCAAGGAATTAAAATTTTGGTTAAGTAGAACTAGTCATTTACCTGTGTCCATGGTGTGACTTGTAAAGAATGTACCCCAGAGGATGTTTAAAATACCTGATAGATACCCAGTGAACAGTGAGCTGTAGGATCTGAGTGTCTGTGTCTTTGGGGGCCATTGCTCTGCTGAGAGCAACCTAACTCAGTTTCCTGTTTGTACCTCAAACACCAAAAAAAGATAACGTAAGCACTCAAACCCAGCCACTTTGTTAATTGTCTGTTGACTTCTTTTGCTGTGGCCTTATAGTATTTTGTGAGTAGAAGAACTTCTTAGAGAAGAAGAAAAAGTCCTTATTAGTTGGAGGAACTTTCCACCAAAGTACAGTTTATCTGAGGTGAAGTGTACATGCAAACAGTCCAGCTCCAATATTCTGATTCCCCTAATTATTAAATATTAAGAACTGCAGGAAATGCAAGTTAGACTTAAGGCAGTAATACTACTGTGCTTTCTTTTCATTCATTTTACTTGAAGGGAGTTGATCTAACTGAATTACTTGGAATGGGGTGTTTTGCAGTGTGCTTAGAAAATAGACCCATGGCACCACTTTGAATCCGTGTGATCTCAGGTCCTAATTCTCCAGAGACGGCGGCGCTGGGGTCCGGGAAGCCACTGAGCTTGCTTGTGCTGGGTGGCGTCGGGAATCCAGGCGACACGATGCATGCAAGGAACATAGGAATGTTGCACTGCTTTGTGAGCCTGGGGATGGGTTTTTTTTTGTGTATGTATGCCATGTGTATTTAGATTTTTGTCTTCGTCTCTTTGTTACTGGCATTTACTTTTATTAAAATGATGGTATGGTGAAATACTGATTAAATATGATTAGGTTTTATGTTTGGGTCCTCTAGTCTGATAATCGTCACCTGGTCAGTCACTGGATGTTACTTGATACCCAGTAAGTTGCCCTTTGGTATCAACTGCTCAGTGACCTACACGTCCGAGTGCTGGCTGTATGTTTAGGTGGCGTTCATATTTTTGGACCCTTCATAGTTGAGTATTCCTGCAGCTCATGAGACAATACTGTTGCAGGAGAACCGTAATTAAATGTATATAGCTCATGCTTCCCCACCACCCAGTCTCTTCTCCCGCTTCCATCTTAAATCAACATAAACATTTCTGACTATGTATATGCCGTTAAGTGGCATTAAATTTGGATATTTTTCTTAATTACGCAAAATACTGGAAGTCCGACTCATGCTCTGGTGGATAATTGGATGGTGGTGAGTATTGGATTACTTGTCACATTAAAGTTTATTCTCTGAGCAGTGTCGTTTCTAAAGAATAGATGGGTTAAAATGGTTTTGATTTATACTTCCATTTCCTGATTAGATTTAGAAATACCTTCTGTAAACGACATTTTTTCTGCCCCCCTCTGTTTGTTGACTGAAAGACTGTAAGTTGGGAGAGTGTCCATCTGAAAAACACTCTCCTGAGAACCAGAAACCCTGGGGTTCTCAGCGTGGAGGCCCCCGGCTGGCGGCTCTGAGCGTCGGGAGCGGAGCACGCCGCGGCCTCCCCCGGTGCACTTTATTGCTGAGCAATTTTGCTTGATCTTTTTTTGACTTTGAGCCTTTTTAAGTAGTTTCAGTAATAAAATTTAAAATGTTTTGGAATTATGTTTTATGTAACAGACTTGGACTTATTATTTAAATGAATATGTGTGATGTAACTTTTTTCTTTGAATCCTATAAAACTTTTTTGATTTGCAAACTGGACTTGCGTCCTGTGTCATGAGGCTGCTTCAGAATGTACCCATATCTTTTCAGCAGAGTCTACAAAATTTATTGTATGTTGGCCCTACCTAACCCTCCTCTCTGTTTTCTGGGCTTCTGTTCAGCTCCCAGGTGCCCTTTAGATTCCTTGGAGGATTCTTTAGGAAAGAAATGTGTGCAGAGGCCGCGTCTGTGTGGGCTCTCTGATGCCGCTCTGGTTCCGACAGGGTGGGACCGCGGGCTGGGGGACCTGTGACAGGAGGCCGAGTGAGAGGGAGTCTCTTCCCTCCCTCCTTCCCCCTCCAGCCCAGGCTGTACAGGTGTGTCGCTGAGCCATGGTCTTCACTCCTGCTCTTGGGGTATGTTCTCTCCTGAACCTCTTGCGGCGGGGGCTCTGCATCCACACCTCCCTGAAGGAGCTGAGATCTGCATGAGTTCACGCCTCCATCGTCATGCTTGTGTGTCAGCAGCCTTGGACAGAGCTGATCGCCCCCCACAGGCCACACTCTCCTGCTTTCCTGGTCCTGCACTGTCTGCTCTTGGCTGGGGCCCCTCCTCTCCCTGACCCTTTTTCTACTCCCCTCACAACCACGGTGATCGTTTCCAGTCTCGGGCCTTAGATAGAAATAACCTCTGTACTGTGGAGACTCCGTGTGTGTATCTGTCCTTTGCACCTCTAACCTGAGCCTCCGAGTCCCCCTTCCAGCTCTCTACTTGACGTGTGTCCAGTCGGCATCTCAGACTTAACCAAGCTCGTCATCTTCTCTCCCATGCTCGCTTTTCTCACGGTTAAGCCCACTGTCTTGAAAAAGAACAGGGAGTCCATCCTTCCAGCCTTCAGGTGTAAAACCTTGGAGTCACCTGCACTCCTTTCTCACTTCACACGCAATCTGTCGCAGTCCCGCTGACTCCCCGCCTTCCGAAGCTGGGCCCCCTGGGATGTGATTCAATAGGCCACACTGCTCCTGGTCATGTGTGTGCGCAGGCGGCAGGCTGGGGGTGAGGGGTTGGTAAATAAATGATCATAATGCGCTTTGCATTCAGCAGTCCACCCAGGAAAGTCTCTCCGACTCCGAACACCTTTGTTTCTAGGGGACAGCCACAAGCGTGGTGCCTTGAGCTGTGTGAATTTGTACTTGCTGCCCTTCCTCTGTTCCCAGGGTTCTAACTGCTGCCTGACTGTAACATCCACTGTCCCTGTGCTTTCCACCTGCCTCTTGGTTGAGGGACTTTCACAGTGAGGAACTTGAGACATTTTCCTGATGGCTTGGCCCCCTCCTGGGAGAAAGCCCAGGCACCAGGACTCCCTACCCTAGAGGAGTGAGACACAGTCCCCTCTAGGTTAGGAGGGTTGCCTCCCAAAGGCCCCTCACCGCTCCCTAAGAAGCTTAGTGCCTTCCAGAATTGTCCTGAGCTGGCTCTGCAGACAGGCTGCTTCTCCCTAGGATGTCTTGCTGATCTCAGAGGACAAAGTGGCCAACAAACAAGATGATAAAGAAGAAACAGGATGCCACAAGTCAAGTGCTGGGAGATGCACGTGTAGTGAAGTGACAATCATCCTGTGATGGTGCTCGCGCTTGCTCAGCTCTCAGCAGGCCGTTCTGATGGCAGCCTCCGGGGGGCCTTCCCAGGGCACCCCTTTCCTGGGCTCCTTCAAGACTAGAGTTTTGGTCTTTAAGACTAAAACTTGTCATATTTCATTGGATTTTATTGCAAATCTAATTTACCTGCTAAAATGTAAGGTCCCGCATGCCAGAGATCATATCGCATCCACCTGCCCCCCATCCACCCTCCCATCCACCCCCCCACCCATCCATCTCCTCCCCATCCATCCATTCAAACCCCGTCCGTCCATTTATCCACCATCAAACAGCATGTAACAAACTCCTGTCATGTTGGAGCAGAAACCCAGAGATGAGTCATTCTAGTTTCTGCCCCCAAGGAGCTCGTAGTCCTGCAGGTAAGATGTGAAAACACATGAACATACTGAGCCGAAAACAGGTAAAAGAAGATAGAGGGCCAGGGAGCACCATGTAGTGAGTGGCTGATCGCTGTGCCACTGGAAGTCTTCTGGAGGAACATCTGAACTAAAGGTGAAGGGAAGGTTTTCCAGGCCCTGGACCGGAACAGCAGCAGGCGCAGGACAACGATGCTGACGTTCCCCCACCCCGCCCGCCCCTCCCAGGCTGTAGGTGCCAGAGGTGGGGTGTGAGGGCGCCGGTGGGAGAGGAGGGGGCGATGCTGGGGAGGTGGCCTCGTGTCTTCCCTCAGGGCCAGGCAAGCATCGCAGAGGGAGCCCCAGGGCGGGAGTAGGGAAGTGGCCCACACCCGCTGCGGACTCACCTGGATTCTGGGGAGGGATGTGGGGAAGATGTAGGTCTGTGCCCCTTCTCCCCCTTTCCTGAACCTCCCTTTCATGCCAACAGCCTACCGCCTCTCCTGGCTGAATTCACTGCCCAGCCTTATTTCACGGACCTTGTCATGGTAATCACACCTTGTCCCCCTCCATGGACTGTGGGTTCCCTGAGGACAGGGATGGCAGCCCTTCCCTGTGGCTGGTCTGTGTCCCTGAAGCCCAGCATCCTGTAAGCCACAGGCGACTCCCTCGGTGTTTGTTAAACGGGGCAAATCCACGCTCCGTGCTCGGGTCAGCCTGCTCTGGCCGAGGAACTGGAGGGGTGAGGCCGGGGCTGGAGTTCAGTCAGGACACTGCCGACTCGCAGACACAGGAAGAATGCTGGGAAACAGACTGGCTTTGAGCAGCAAAGGCTGTGAGGTCTCACCGGGAAAAGGGGGGAGGTGGGCAGTCCTGTCTCCCCGTGTCCTGTCTGAGGGCGCGCGTGCAGAGGGGTGGATGGCCCTGGGCGGGGGCCGCACAGAAGAGAGCGGCCTTCTTTTCTTTTCTTGTTTCTAAAGATTTATTTCTTTATGGGGGGATGGGGCAGAGGGAGAGAACAAATCCTGAAGCAGACTCTGCTGAGCACAGAGCCTGACACGAGGCTTGATCCCAGGACCCCGAGATCATGACCTGAGCCGAAATCAAGAGTCAGATGCTGATTGGACTGAGCCATCCAGGCGCCCCGAGCAGCCTTCTTTTCCACGAAGGGGTCTGATAGGCCCTGGAGTCCCTGCAGGCTGCGTTGGTGGGTGGGTAGTGTTGATTTGGCCTGAGGCAGGCCGACTCCATCTAGCCATGTGCTGCTGAAAGATACTCTGCCCTTCTAAGCTTTAATTTCCTTACTTATGAAATAAGGCCTAAGTAAAGGCAAGAGGCAATGCACCTTGCTCAGTGTCTGGCACTTTTATTTTGCATGTAGAAGAAAACCTCAGCACGGACACCTGGATGGTGCAGTCGGTTAAGTGTCCGACTCTTGATCTCAGCTCAGGTCTTGATCTCAGGGTCGTGAGTTCAAGCCCTGCATTGGGCTCCACGGTGGGAGTGGAGCCTACTTAAAACAAACAAAAAACCTTAGTTGTTTCCTACCCAAAGGAGCCAGGGCTCCTTGCAGCGTAGCTGTTTTGGGGGACACACAAACATCCAGGCAGTATCCTCGTGTCACCAGCTGCCTTCAAGAACGTCAGGGACTGTGCGAAACAGCAAAGAAGTCATTCCAAGGGACTGCCACGGGCTGACTTGTGACAGTGTGAACATCAAAATCATAGAAATATGAATTCACTTCCACCCAAGATGGAGTAACAAGAACGGAATACACCTCACATCTGAAATAGCAAGGGAGGGGCGCCTGGGTGGCTCAGTCGGCTGAGCGTCCAACTCTTGGTTTCTGCATGGGTTGTGATCTGGGGGTGGTGAGAGTGAACCCCGAGTCGGGCTCTGCGCTCAGTGTGGAGTCTGCTTGCGATTCTCTCCCTCAGCCCCTCCCACTTGTGCTCTCTCTCTCTCTCTCTCTCAAATAAATAAATCTTAAAATAGCAAGGGAAAACCCACCCAGATAAAATCGCGATCCTAGCGTTTTCAAAGGACCTGGACCGTAGAGAGACCCCTGAGAGACAGGAAATGAGTGGGTGAGCCCCGCGATTGCCCCCGTTGGCTGCCTCGAGGAAGTTTCCAGGCTGCTGTGGAGGGAGGGGAAACCAGGCTGGCCCCAGGGGAGTCCCTGAGTTGAGGAGATGGCACTGAGGGTCCAGGGACACTAAGGAGGTGAGGGGTCAAAGGACAGAGTGCCGCGGAAGAGAGGACAGCGAGAGAATGCTGGAGATCCGCCAAGGGCACCCCTGAGCGATCGGCGCGCACACCGGCCTGGAGCGTGGCCGCACCTGAAACCGAAGGCAACTGTGCGCACGTGGGCGTGTGTCCATTTTCCAGGCTGCGGAGCTGCCACTTTTATCAGTTCCTCAAAGGGTGACTCTGCGTGGCTAGATCCGTGCTCTTGAGGATAAGGCTTCTCGGAGAGAGCACGAAGGGTGCACGGAGGGGGCAGGACATGGGCTGGGCCTGGGGCTCAGTGTGCGGGAGTCCCCAGCCCCATGCCCAGCTGGCTCGATGTCCCAACCCAGGGAGACGGCTGTGTGTGTGAGCCCGGGGGGCCGTGACACGGCTGCCCAGGCCAGTGACGACATGGCTGGGGGAAGCTCTGAAACATTAATACAGGGAACACCAGGAAAATGCGGAGGAGTTCCTGCTGGTAAGCGGAGTGGGGCTCGAAGCCATGGGTCCTCACTTGTAACCTCAGGGGCGTCCCTGAGGAAGAGTTGTGCCTCTTGGTACACCAAACCCCCCAAGCCCAGGCCCAGCCGGCCGCCTGTGGAGCACAGACCAGCCCCTCCCCCTACACTGAGCGGCCCAACCTCACGACCAAGTGCCCACCTGTTACCTGCATGGGCTTTGCAGTGACAGAGCTCCCCGCGCCAGCCATTTGCCGGTCAGGCCTCCCAGGCACCGTGGGCAGCAGGAAGGACAAGCGCCATCTGCCGCCTGGATAGATGAGGACACTAAGATCCCCAGATCACTTGCTGGAAAGTGAGGCCAAGACTAGAGTCCGGGCCTCCTCCCTGCCCGCGGGGCTCTCCCAGTCCCCGCGCTCCCAGCTCTTGCAGCCGAGACAAGCTGATGGGCCTCCTCAGGCAGCCTGGCTACTTCCTACCCCACGTTTTCCAAGGGCAGGGGAGGGAGCAGTGTGGACTGCAGGACCCAGGCCCCAGCGGCTCCCCGCCCCTCATCTGAGCTTGCAGGGGCCTTGGCTCATTCCCGTCACATCTGTCTTTTATACCCCCAGGGCCTAGCACATAAGGTCGTGTCATTTCTATTTTCCGCTCAGATACTCTCCTGTCAGACTCGTAAGAAACCCAGCCCTTCCCTCTGCGGTTCCTCCTCTTTCCCTACAAATTGTGCTAAACCTCTTGGGGCTTAGGGAGCCCGAATGGGGATCTTTCCAACCGCAGCTCCCCGGGGGCTGAGCCGGGAAGTCCTGACCGACGCTGCTTCTGTGATGCTTGCTGCCAAGTGGTGTCACTGTTGACCCCTGGCCACAGGCCCCTGACGTGGGCAGAAGCCTGGGTCTTGGAAGGACAGCCCTGTGCCCAAGGCGCCGCAAGAAACCACACACGCTTCTGTGTGGCCACACCCAGACACCGCTCCATGGGGCATCCGTCAGAGGGTCACCTCCTGAAGACTTAAAATAAGTGTCACCTTTCCTTCCCAGGGTCCACACCCCACGGAAAAGGCAGCTTTTCCTTTCCAACTCTGGAAACTGACGATTTCATCACAGAAGATAGAACCCTGCACACCTGTTAAGGTCGGCTTGGTCCCCAGGGGTCCAGATGCCCGCACACCGAAGGGCTGATTTCGTGTTGCCTCCTGCCTAGAGGAGGGCGCTGGCCTTCAGAGACTCAGATGTGGTTTATCCTCCCCAGTGCACCCCGGAAGGCTTTTCTCCTGCCTGATTATTGCCAGAACAGAAGGCCCTCCAGCCCCATGGGTTGGACCTCCAGGCGGGCGACAGCTACTCTTCTCTGACAACCTTTCCCCTCTCCGGAGTGAAGACGTGCCTACAGCTGTGCGGGCAAGCACGGACTGGGCATCTAGCTGAGGGCCAGGCTCACAGCAGCAGGGGCTCGGCGGATGGGGACGCATGTGGCACTGAGCAGAGCCTCGGGGGAGACCTCACAGCGGGGGGCGCAGCACAGCCCAGTGGGACGTGGCTCTAAGACTTTGGACCATCAAGGGGCGGCCAGGTGGCTCAGTTGGTTAAGCGTCTGACTCTTGATTTCGGCTCAGGTCATGATCTCAGGGTTGTGAGGTCGAGCCCCGCATCAGGCTCCGCGCTCAGCCGGGAATCTGCTTGAGCTTCTCTCCCTCTGCCCCTCCTCTCTCTCTCTCTCTCTCTCTCAAATAAATAAATAAATAAATAAATAAATAAGACTTTGGCCCATCAAAGGGCACTGTCTGGCGTGGCTCTGCTCCTTCCCCAGGGAAATGGCCACGACGTTTCTCAGAGCCGGGATGGAGTGTGTTTCCTGGCTTCCTGGCATTCTGCCGCCTCTCAGAGGAGCGTGCCCCCCGCAGAAACCAGGAGACGCACTTCCAGTGCTCAGACCGTCCCAGACCTCCGCACGGGTTGGGTCGTTGTCACTTTCGACTCTGAGGCCTTTTCCTTCCTGCCTCTCGTTGAGCTGCCTCCCGCCCCGTCTGGGAGCAGGTCCCGCACTCAGCTCCGGAGCAGAGGGCTGGGGTTCAGGGGAGGCGCACGGAGCTGCCCCGGGAGGGGCTGGAGCGGTGAGTGGCCGCCGCGGGCCATCAGCCCCCGTCTAGTGGTCCCGGGCCTTCCCCACCGCCGCCACCCCCAGGCCAGCCCCCCGCCCAGGCCCACCTCACGGCTGGGACACACGGCTTTAGGCTTTATATGGCTGGTCACCATTCAGAAGACACTTTCCTGAATTCAGGGAATTAAAAAAAAAAAAAGGACCCGAGAGCAACTGCTTTGCTTTGATGATGTGCACTCACTTTGACCTCGACAGAGACTGGAGTAACCACAGGACGAATTCTTCTTTTTCTGAACACTTTTATCTCATGAATCGTTGTATGAGGTTTCCACTGGAAAATGCGGGAAACTGGCTGAATGTGTTCCATTTTAACAAAATAATGATGTAAAACTGTAAACATTTTACGTCATTAAATTCAAGGCCTGATCTGTCTGGTGGTGAGAAAGAAAATATTAACTGCTTTTAAGAGAAATATTTGTATTATTAAAATAGTAATGGCTTTCCTCTTTGATCGAAAGAAATGATTTGGGCTTGGATGGGGAGTAGCTCTCGCTTTGGGGGGTTTCGGAGCCACTCCGTCGGCGACCGTTGTCGGAAGGCTCCACGCGCCATCCTCCGGCTCGGCAGTAAGAATCTCCGGGTGATGGAACACCTGATCAAAGGCCGCCTTGCCAAGCAATAAAAGTTCATGGAAACACCCGTTTGCCTGCGACGACAGCAGGCCTGTGGGTCTGGGGACAGCGCCAACGGGCCCTGCGTCTGTGTCCCAGAAGCTCTTGCATGTTGCAGGCGACGCCAGGGAGGCTCTGTGTTGGTGGTAACTGTGACAAGCTGAGACCTATTCTGGCTTTGGCAAAAGCTGACGTCACACCCACGTGCCCCTTTGTTCTGAAGCCCTCCCAGCTGCTCCTGAGGGGCCTGCCACCTGGCCCCCGAACCGCACGCCAGCCAGAAACTTCTTCCAAGGCCGGCCACGCCTGTGCCCCCCAGGAGTCCCACCTTCCAGTCAGCCTGTGGCTCCCCTGGCCCTGCCTTGGATTCACAGACATCCCTGGCAAACCGGCTTTCTCATCTGTCCGCTGGGAACGTTCTTGGGCTCTTCTGGCCTCAATGCGGGGACGCTGTACCTTCTCCCAGGTGGGACGAGAGTAAACCAGTCCCATCAGGCTGGTGAGAGCAGGTGTTCCTCAGGACCTCCTCCAGGTGGGGCCGGGGTGCCCCCCCACCCGCCGCAGCTGCAGAGGCAGCTCTGTGCCCCAGGGGGAGGGCAGAACAGCAGAGATCAAGGAAGCCTGGATTGTTGGGGCTGGAATGCCTGGAAGAGCCTCCAGGACTCAATTTCTAGGGAGGGAAACTGAGGCCCACAGGGTGAAAGTGGCTGCATGTTAGTTAACTGAGGGCTCCAGCTCCCGGTCCTGTGCTCTCCGTCCCTCACACCTGCCAAGGAGGGGCGCAGGCCTCTCTCCAGGGAGGCAGGCGGGCTGTGGCTCTCAGCAGCCCCAGCGCCAGGAAGGAAGAGTTGGGTAAGGTCTAAAGCTTAGACTCAATCCTTCCTACCCCGAGCGAGGCTGGGTTCCAGGAGCTCGGGTCTCACCCAGGGGCTGGTTAGACATGCAGACTCTCCGGCCCCGCCCCAGAGCCACAGAACAGTAATGCACGCGTCAACATCTCCGGGCAGTTGCTGTGGAGAACCAGGACGTGTTAGAGGCCCCAAGGGAACCAGTCTGATGAGCTGTCCCCAGTCCCGGTGCAGAGAGGGCCATCCGACAGGGGAAGCATCTCAGGCTCCAGGAGAAGCCCGCCGACAAGCCCTCCGCAGACACTGCGGGAGGAGTAGCTGGGAGAGCACCTGCGCACCCACCGGCGGGACGGCCCCTGTGTCTGCCTTCACGCCTGGGTCTGCACGCTGAGCACCACTTGCCAGCAAGCTTGAAGCCGGATCTTTCGAAAGAGCCAGGAGTAACTGCATGTTGGAGGGGGCTCAGCTCCAGCCAGAGCCTGGGCAGGGGGCAGGGGCGGGGGTGCAACCCCAGTCTGGTCGGGGGGCCGGGGGGCCTGCAGGGCAGCTCCAGCAGCCTCAGCGACAGTACTCCCGCTCGATGCTGGCCATCAGCTCCTCTTCCGAGCAGTCGTACGAGATGGCCGAGCTGCCCGACTGCCTCTCAGGCCTCCCGTGGCTGCCGCCCGGGGCTCTGTGAGCCAGAAACATGGACAGGGGTGTCAGGAGACAAGGTGTCACCTTCAAACTCGTCATCTCCACGATGGCCCCTTCAGGGACTTGTGATCCGTCCTTAAACCAAAACCGAAAACCTTTGCCCTGGGAAAAAATTCTTAATCTTTTATAAGAGCGGGCCTCTGCCTATTTCTCTGGCTTCATTGCCTATGACCTTGTCCGCCCAGACCTTACATACCCTGCGAGGAAGCCAGCCCCTGGGGCGTTTCAGGGTCAGGGCCCTCAGGGTGGAAAGGCCCGAGTTCGAATCCCAGCTCTGCCACTTACTAGCGCTGCAACCTTGAACAAGGCATTTGCATCTCTGAGCATCAATTTTTTTACCTCTAAAGTGGAGCTGTATTCATAAGTTCATTCTGGGGCATAAATAAGATAATGCACAGAGAGCACGTGACACCGAGTCCTGCACACTGCACAGCCCTAAGCAAATGTGAGCTGCATTGCGAGCTACCCATTTGCCTGATTTACTCCCGGGGCCTGCACCCTTGGGGGCGCTGAACGGAGCTGCTGCTGCAAGACAGGACTGGGCATGGCAGAAGTGACCAGAGTCAGACCCTGTTCCTGCTCCCTGGGCTCCACAAGGTCGTTCCCATCAGCCTGCACCTGGTGGCCCACCCCCTCTCCGACTTTCTGGACATCATAGGGACTTTGGGGTGGTGTTCACTGTACCCCGAACTTCCCTTTCTTTCAGGCTGCTCCCTGGCAGTGTTGCCTGGCACTGGCCTTGGCCTGCCCAGAACCTTTGACAGCTGGGGCGGTGTGGGCATGGGTCAGGCTGCGTGCTACCCGCTGGAGCGGATGCGAGGTCCGCAGCCCAGAGCTGCCCGCCGCCGGCGGGGGGACGGTGACCTCCCGCGGCCTGTTCTGCGGTGCTGGAGAAGAAGCCCACGCTGCTCTGCCGCTCAGGCCGCTGGAGCGACTTCCCCTCGCACCTGTGAACTCAGGGAGCCGGGCTGGGGGATCCTCAGCGGCAGGTGCAGACAGGAGCCACCAGAGTCACCAGGCGTCCCCTCCATGCACCCTCAGCTTCTGTTACCCAATCCTAGGACCTCAGGTCGGGCCAGCCCTGCCCTCAAAGCCAGCCCGACAAGCTCAGCCCTGCCGTTTCCATGTCTCCCCGCCGTTGCCCCTCAGGAGAAAGATGTAGATGTCATCAAGGATGATCAGGACTCGGGGGTGCCTGGGTGGCTCATGCGGTGAAGCGTCTGCCTTCAGCTCAGGTCATGATCTCGGGGTCCAGGGATCAAGCCCCGCATCGAGCTCCCTGCTCGGCGGGGAGTCTGCTTCTCCCTCTGCCCCTCCCCCCTCTTGTGCTCTGTCTCTCTCTCTCTCTCTCTCTCTCTCTCTTTCAAATAAATAAATAAAATCTAAAAAAAAAAAAAAAGGACGATCAGGACTGGGGGGTCAAGGCCCACATGGCCCCGGTTCACATCAAACGTTCCTTTCAACAAGCGTCTACGAGACACCTACTGTGTGCCCGGCGCTGTGAGGGACCAGACCCGAGGCAGGGGCCCACGCGGCCTCCGTGAGGCTGAGCGAGCCTGGGAGCCGACCTCCGTGGGTACCTTACGGGTCACGGGTGTGGAGGCTGGGTGCCGACAAAGTGGGGCGAGACCCCAGCTTGACGAGGACGGAGGGGAGGGCGAGAGTTTGCGGGAAGAGATTTTAACTGGGCTTGGAAGGATTTTTCTCTTCAGCACTTTATCACAAAGACTCCCAAGCACATAGAAAGGTTGAAATTGTAGATTCAATAATTAAGTAAATACACATTTTTTTTTTTTTTGCTGTATTTACTTTATCACACATCTACTTCATCTGATTTCTGGAGGTATTTCAAAGTAAACTGCAGATGTTAGGACATTTCTCCCCGAAATGCTGCTCTGCTGGGTTCTGACAGCAGAGCTGGGGGGTAGGGGAGGAGGCCGGGAAGGAAGGGGGGCTGCTGCCTCTGAGATCTGCGTGGGGGGTGGAGGGAGAAGGGCCCCCGAGGGCCCGGAGGCGTGGGGGAGCCACGGCAGATGTGGGCCAGGAGGCCTGCTGCTCCCTCCCCGCAGGGGCTCTCCTTAGAGGCCGAAGAGCCCAAGTTTGGGGACCAGAGGAAGGCTGCTCCAGGCCTGACCCCGGGGAGGGCCAGTGCGCCCTCAGAGCTTGCCTCCATGGCCCTCTCCTCCTTCCCGAGGCAGCAGGGCGGGCTGCCGGAGACTGACAGAGCCTCGCATGAAAGCAGGTGAGCCAGGGAGGGAGTAGATTCCCGGGAGGGTGGTGAGGAGTCTGAGCAGCCACCGGGAGTGTGCAGGGAGCGGAAGGGGCCCCTTCAGTTAAAAAGCAGAAGAAATAGCTAATTGATTCCACATAGAATTTAACCCTTCTAAATTCCTCAGGTTGATGAAAACTGGAGAACGTCGTGCTAATTCTCTTTAAAATCAGTGGAAACAGTCAGCCAGAGCTGAGCTGTGCGCCGTTCCTTCCGCGGCGCCCACAGGCAGGTGTGTCCCCAGGTCCCCAGCACAGAGCTGCAGGCTCGGGCGCCTGGGTCGGCCCAGCAGAGCTGGCCGGGGCCCCTGGGGCGGTGGCTGCCCTCGCACCCGAGACCACCCCCAACCCCTGGCGCCAAGTGCCAAGCCCACCCCCAGTCCATACAACGAGAGGAGGAGGGTCTGAGGGAGGACCAGGGCTCTCCACGATGCTGAAGAAGGCTCTGGGCCTGGACCACTGGTGTCGGGGTTTTAAGCGTTCCCACTGCTTCGCCCTCTACGCCAGCGAGGGGTCCCAGCCCGCTCCCACTCGAGAGCGGTGGCCAATGGCTACTGCGTGGCACTTAGCGCCCTCTCCACCTCGGGGAGCTTCCGGCTCTCGGTGACCCCCAGGGCCCTGGGCTAACTGCAACCTGCTGGCGCAAAGTGTCCTCAGCTGGAAATGCGGCCGGGATGCTCCTGCCTCCTGTCTCCTTGGTGACCTCCCACGCGGCCTTCAAACCAGTTTAACCCTTACCAGCTCCTCTGTGAGCCCTCAGACCACTCCTGACCCCTCTCTGACCTCCCCTGAGCCCACTGCCTGCCCTTGTGAAGAGACCAAGCTGCTCAAGGAAGGACCCCTGCAAATGTGTGTTCAGTAAGGGAAACCAGCAAGCTTCTTGCCCTGAAACCATTTGGAATTGGTCATAAAAACAGCTATTACGTTAGAAGTTTTACACCTGTTCACATCGGTGGTCTTGAATCCCAGAGTCACCCACATCCCAGGGACGGGGCAGATCACTGTCATCCCTTTAGAGGTAAGGAAGCCAGGAGGGTATGGTGGGGGAGAATAGGCCAGGGGCCCAAGGTCATCCCAGCCAAACCTCGTGCTGGGCTGCTCTTGATGCCCTGAAATCCTCACACGGCCCAGAGCTATGTGGGATGGCCCGGAGCAGAGAGAGAAGGCCTGGTCTCTGGGCCTGGGGTCCTTAGCTGACTCTTCCCAGGGGTTTTAAAAGCATTTTCCTGATAAAATTGTAACAGATTACAGGGGGTCCATCTGCCATCCCTCTAGGCTGTAAACTCTGGAAGGCTCATCTGCAGATGTCCCATGGCACACAGTTTCTGAGTGAACGAGTGAGATCGGGAATGCCCTGGATGATCTGGATCAGGGCCTCTCTCAGGGGGACGATGACTGTGGCTGTGAGGCCGAGGGCTTCTGCACACGCCCATGGCCGGGACCTTCCCTGGAAGGAGGGAGCTGGGACCTGGGAGCCATGGGGTTCTGTGGGCATCTGGGGCGGAGGCAAGAAGCTGCGGCTTCTGGCAGAGGAAACGTGCTCACCCCAGTCTCGCACTCACCTGGAGACTCTGCCGCTCTCTGGGTGCTCGTCAGCGCTCTGTTTGGAGGACACCTCGAGAAGGACAAAAGGAGGAAGCATCAGAAGATTGTCAGTGATGCTTTCTGCCAACAGACACAGGCCACCATGTTTAACCCAGGACTAGATAGAATGCATAGATTTAATTTCAAGTGGTCCCAGCCTGGAAATGCTCCCGAGGTGCCCAGCAAAAAGTCATCTTCCTCTTAGGACTCAGAGAATACTCACAAAGAAGTTTCCAAGGACAAGGAGCAGCAAACAACAAAAAATAACCAACTATGCAAGGAACCCAGTAAAAACCAGAAGAAAAAATAGTCAACAAAACTAGATCAGTGGAGGGCATCTGCCTGGCCCAGTCAGTTAAGCATCCAACTCTTGATTTCAGCTTAGCTCATAAACCACAGCGGGAAAGCCTCCCTCTGGCTCTCCAGTTGCATCTGCTTACTTCACAGGTGGGAAGACTGAGGCTGGGGCAGGGGGTGACTTTATGAAGCTCACACATGTGGCCAGTGACCTGGCTGCACCCCCATCTCTCACCTCCAGGGGTCACATCTGCCTTCCACTTGGCTCTGCCAAGCTCTCTCTGTCCCCAGACAAGGGTGTTCAGACGGAGCACACGTTTGTCTGCGGGCTTTTCCGGAAGTCCGTGCCAAGCCCTGTGCCTGCACCAGCCCATGCCAATGACCACAGCTTTAGAATGAACCTTGACATCTGCTAAAGCACGTCCTCCCACCTTTCTTTTTAAAAAGAGTCTTGACTACTCTTGGTTCTTTGCATTTCCCCATATATGTATTGGAATCAGGTTGGCCTATTCCGTGGGGAAAAAAAATCTTGGGGATTTTGTTGGGGTGGTATTAAACCACAGATCATTTGGGGGGAATTGATACCTTTATAATAATCAGCCTTTTGATTTATAAACAAGGACTGTTTCTCCATTCATTCAGGCCTTCTTTAATGTCTTTTTTTTTAAGTCTTTATTTGAGAGAGAGAGTGTGAAGGGGGCGGGTGGGGGGAAGGGCAGAGGGAGAGGGAGAAGCAGGCTTCCCGCTGAGCGGGGAGCCCGATGCGGGGCTCGATCCCAGGACCCTGGGATCATGACCTGAGCCGAAAGCAGGCGCTTAACGACCGAGCCACCCAGGTGCCCCACACAGCATCACCTTTTTTAAATAAAATTTTATTTTATATCTCTTGTTGCAGAAATATGACTGAAATATATATATTTGGGGGAGTCGGTGAATTTACCAACTCTTGTATTAGCTCTCATAATTTATGTGTAGATTCTTTTTGTATTATTTTTGTTCTCATTCACCTTTTCTGGGAATAATAGCCATTCAATTTCCCCCTAACTTTTCCAGACTTCTGGTACTACATGAAAAGAAGTGATAATAACAGGCATCTTTGTCTTGCTCCTTTATTGAAAGGGAAAGTTTCTATTGTTTCACAACTTAATGCTTGCTGTGATTTTTTTCTTGAGCATCTGGATCAGAGCCTCGTCTGGGTGCTATGCGCTGGGTCATTTCTCCAGCTCTGTCTTCCAATGTGCTGATCTCTTCATCTCTGTCTAATTTCCTGCTAACCCACACCATCGGGATCTTTTTTTTTTTTTAAAGATTTTATTTATTTATTTGAGAGAGAGAGAATGAGAGACAGAGAGCATGAGAGGGAGGAGGGTCAGAGGGAGAAGCAGACTCCCTGCTGAGCAGGGAGCCCGATGCGGGACTCGATCCCAGGACTCCAGGATCATGACCTGAGCCGAAGGCAGTCGCTTAACCAACTGAGCCACCCAGGCGCCCCACCATCGGGATCTTTAACTTTGTTTATTCTAGTTTCCATTTCTACAAGTTCTGTTTGGTTCTTTTTCAAATACACCAGGTCACTTTCTCTAGGCCCTTGTCCTTTGCAGGTATTTTCTTTAAACATAATAAACATAAATTGAATATAATCTGTTCCTGGTAATCCAAACACCTGAAGTCTTCACCAATCTATTTTGGAGGGGGGAGGGGCAGAAGGAGAGGGAGAGAGAGAATCTCAAGCAGATTCCCCACTGATCGTGGAACCCGACACAGAACTCGATTCCAGGACCCTGAGATCATGACCTAAGCTGAAATCAAGAGTTGGGTGCTTAACTGACTGGGCCAGGCAGACGCCCTCCACTGATCTAGTTTTGTTGACTATTTTTTCTTCTGGTTTTTACTGGGTTCCTTGCATAGTTGGTTATTTTTTGTGGTTTGCTGCTTCTTGTCCTTGGAAACTTCCTTGTGAGTATTCTCTGAGTCCTAAGAGGAAGATGACTTTTTGCTGGGCACCTCGGGAGCATTTCCAGTCTGGGACCACTTGAAATTAAATCTATGCATTCAGGCCTGGGATCGGGACCTTACTTATTCTGCAGACATTGGGGAGTTTTAAAGGTTTTGGTTTTTTCCTTTTAATAGTGGAGCAATTGTGTTCTCTCATTCCATGATCCTACACTGCCAATAGACAGAACTGGGCTTTTGCCCCCACAGGAAGCTGGTTGTGTTCTCTCCAAATTCTCTTGTAAAGCCCTTCTGCATCCTCGGACTCGGAGATGTGATCACATGGATCAATCACTCACCAGCCATTCACCCAGCACCCCAGCATGCCCTGTGCTCTATCAGCTGCTGGGCAGACCTGCGCTCTATGCTCTTGAGGTCCTGGCAATGTCGCTGGAGAAGTAAGTCTTAAACACATTAAACAGTTAGCCAGATGTGTAAGAGCACAGAGCTGGGGGGCGGGGTGTTGCTATAAAATGTGCAGTTGGAGAGGGTGGGCAGTACGGTAGTCAGGGGCGTAAGTTTTGAAAGAGAGACAGACCAAACCCTGCCCTAGCAGCTCTACGGTTCGTGTGGTTGTCCTGACCTTTCTCAGCAGTGGTTTTCCTCGTGTGCAAAGCAAGTTTACTGGGAGATATTCTAAAGTCATTCCAGAGTGCCTGGCACTTAGTAAGTTCTCAGTAAACATTAGCTGCTATCGTTTCTCTTATCATTGGACCGATGTTGTATACCATGCCGTCCTCTAGTTATTAACCTGTTAGTGTTAGTTAGTCCTCCCCAGCAAGAGTACCACTTCTCCAAGCTGGGCACAGGATAAACATGAAGTATTTTCCGAATTAAGTTGAATGTCAAGGTGCTGGGTCGTTATAATCTTGAGTTTAAAGTCTATATAGCAGTTGGCATAGTAGAGTAAAAATAGCATAATAGAGAAAAGGGTTCAAATCCCAGTTGTGCCAGTTAATAATGATATGCCTTTGGGTGGATTGTGAGGCTCTCTGAGCCTCAGTTTACCCATGTGCCTAATGGGGACTGAGCCCTCAGGGCTGCTGCGAGACGAGAGATTATCCATCCGGCTCATCCGTAGTGTAACCGCCATCCTACAGATGACCAGTAAACACCATCTGAAGTATCTGAACCAACGTCCAATCTAGGCCAACCTCTGACGAAGGCCCCCTGGAAGATAACCAGATTGCGTGATGTGGTTGGTCTAGGGAGCGTCCTGGTCTTCGAGGCCTAAGCAGAGGTTTCTGTACAACATTTTCTTCCCTGTGAAATCAGCTCTGACGTGTCTCTTGGGAAACATTAGCGTTGGGAAGTGAAGCAAGCACACACTGGGCATGTCCTGCCAACGCGGGCCCCGTGGGGCTGGGCAGGGGAAGGCCAGCCAGCCTCGACGCGCTGTCCAGTAGAGGTTGGTCTTGCCTCCACTGCAAGTGGAGGCTGGCCACACGGCGAGGGTGAGCAGCCCCGTTCCAGCCGTGTCCCCAAGAGCCGACCATGGCTGTTGGTGGCTGGTGACCTTGCGATAGGGGACTCCATATCATGGCGCGTTTCTTGGGACACTCATTTTTGCCTTTGGGGAGTATAAAGATGCAGAGCAGATGACTCTCAAGTCAGCAAGGAATTCACAGTAGGAAGAGGGACAGAGGGGGGATAGAGGGAAGAAAGAGGACGGGAAGTAACACACACACACACACACTTAACCCCACTGCCTCTTGAAGCCACCCATCCCATCTCAGAGCAGCTCAGACTATCTGAATGTTCTTTTTTTTTTTTTTTTAAGTTGGCTCCACGTTGGGCGTGGAGCCCAATGCAGGGCTTGAACTCACGACTCTGAGACTGACACCTGAGCTGAGATCGAGAGTCGGGTGCTTAACCGACTGAGCCACCCTGGTGCCCCTGAATGTTCTTTTTAATTAAAAACAAAATTCTGTGATAAAATACACATAGCCTAAAATTCACCATCTTAACCATTTTTAAGCGTACATTTCAGTATTAAGTACATTCAAATACAACCAATCTCAGGAGCTCTTTCCATCTTGCAAAGCAGAAACTCTGTCCCCATTCAACAACTCCCCACCCCAAGCCCCGGCAACCACCCTCCTACTGTCTCTGTGAATCTGACCACCTTGTCTAAGCGGAATCCTACAGTATTTGTCCTTTTGTGTCTGGCTGACTTCAGCTGGCACGTCTTTGGGGTTCATCCATGTTGGAGGAGGTGCCAGAATGTCCTTCCCTTTTAAGGCTGACTAATATCCTATTGTGTGTGTGAACCGCATTCGTCTGTCAGGTTGCTTGCACCTTTTGGCTGCTGTGAGTACCACTCTTGTGAACATGGGTAGACAGAGATCTCTTTGGGACCCTGCTTTCAATTCTCTCGGGTACACAAGAAAGTCCTCACTTATCACTGCCACCAAACTGTCACCTACAGCTTTTGGTCATGGGGCCTGCCTACATGCCCAGGGCCTCCGGAGAAGAAAAGTAGTACTTAACCCAGCCATCCCCGAGCTGCTTTTTAGACATCATCCTATTTGCACCCTTGTGCCCTCTTGTCAGTTTCTGCGGAACCAGCCTTTGTCATCACCTACTTTGGCTTTCTCCCTCATCACCAGACTGTGTGAAGGTTGTTACACATACAGTTTCTCCCAGCGGGAGGGCAACTGAGAGTCAGACCTTTGCAGGATCAGCCCGTCTCCTCCTGCCCGCTGCTTTCCCTGCCGCTGAGGGGGACACCCTGCTGGCCCCGGGGAGCAACCAGGACGGGGCACACCATCACCTGCACACACCCTACAGCAGGGTTCGGAAGGGATGCTG